GACTTCCTCAAATGGAATAAAGTTGATTTAGACGTTAAGGTTATACTCCAGTCTGAGTCCTGTACAAATAAAACTCAGAAATTAATTTTTCCTCCTTTGCTTTCCTTATCCCTTCAATCTTCTGGTCCCAACTTATTTTCATGTCCAAATTACCAGTATTCCATTTCCAAGCATTTTGTTTAAGAAGAACTCGCTGTTTCACTATGTGGAAACGTAAACCATTTTTATTTGTCTGTTGAGACTGTGAAGTGAGAAGACTGCCCTCTTAGCTTGTGGCATAACTTGAACTTCAATTTTATAAAATCTTGAATTCCTGGAAATAATGTTTTTGATAACATTTACTGTCTGATCATCCATGATGAGAGCTTCCTGTGATGCTCTTGAGTATAGTGCAAATGCAAAATTTAAATTAAGAATTTCAATTCACTATGCACTTTCAAGATTTTTTTTTTAAAAGACACGTCTGCAAGATTGTTGCCTGAATCCTGAGGCACTTGGATCACTTAGTGACTTTTGATCTACAAGAATTTGAGGGGAGAGATATAAGACTCCAATCAGCTATGATCTTTCTTAATGGCAGAATTGGATCTACTTCTGCACCTCTTTCTGTGTTCTTAAAATTAAACACTGAGCAAGAGAAAATCTGTTCCGCAGTTTCAGAACTGGGAAGGCTACAGGTCAGTTGTGAATTACTCGTTAGCTTTGCTTTTAAAAATATTCGGGACTTTTTAAATGAAGATTTTAAGACATCTTATTGCAGGCGGTTTGTGGGTGTTCAATGCAGCCTTAATTTTTAAATATTCCAGTTTAGCTATTTATTGCACTTAAACCAGCCCTGTTGCTGTTAAACTCTGAAGAATAAACCTGTATTAGATCTTTGCTGCCACCTGGAGGTCACACAAGGTTTGAGCTAGGGTTTGGAAGCCATTTAGCAATAATGGAATGGAATAATTGGCACAGACTCAAAAATTGGCATCAGAATTGCAGTCTGTGCATGCACCCATGACCCTTTGGCAGTACAGATCCTTAACAATGAATTTGTGCATGCACAGTTGATGTCATTATGTTGTTTTCATAATCACATTACACCAGTTGGATGTGTGCATAAGGTCTTACTGAAGCTGTAACTCACTCGGATAGTAAGAACTGCCAATGCTGGAGTCAGCGATAACAGTGTGGAGCTGGAGGAACACAGGCCAGGCAGCATCAGAGGAGCAGGAAAGCTGACGTTTCGGGTCTGGACCCTTCTTCAGAAAAGGTCAGCTTTCCTGCTCCTCTGATGCTGCCTGGCCTGCTGTGTTCCTCCAGCTCCACACTGTTATCTATTACTGAAGCAGTAGTTCTGCATGTCGGAAGGAGTCAGAGACTGAGAATCCAGGAATGTGGATGAAGGCCCAGCGCAGTGGTATTTTCCACAAGGACAGGCCAGGAGTGAAAGCAATGCTCATGAAAATAGTACCAGTCAATGAGCAATGCAGCTGGTCAGCTCTTTGTGGTGGGTGAGGGAGTGATAGCAGCTGTAGGCTTTGAGCACCCAAGGGCTGGCCGAGAGGGACATCCTTCCGGTTGGAAAGTAGGTGCATCGGTCCCTAGACAGTGACATAGCATGGAAGAGGGGATAACTTGGGTGGGAGGGTCTTTGTGTTGGTTGCTTTGCCAAAGCAGCAGGAAGTATAGGTGGAGACAATGGATGGAAAGCTGGTTTGCGTGGTGGTGAGGTTGCTTCTTGAACTCCACAGTCATGTGATGAGGGTGCTTCCTAACAATGCTGTTGGGAAGGAAGTTCCAAGGTTCTGATAATGAAGGAAGGAACAAAAGACAAAATCAGATGGTGGGTGACTTAGTGACAGACCTCCCATACACTGGTCACTCTCATCCTTCTAGATGATGGTCACGTTTTCAAGGTGCTGCCAGGATTTTGTCACAGGGCCATAGAATTGTTGCGGTACCATTTATACAGTACAGCATAGGAACAGGCCTTTTGGTTCACCAAGCCTGCACTGATTCTGAATTTTTATTTAGACCTGCTACTTATGACCCATGCACGGTTTCTATCCTTCTGTTCACCTCCCATTCATATGTCTATCAAGATATGCCTTAAATGTTGGTAGTGTTTCTAACACCTCCACTGACGGTGCATTCCAGGCACCCAACGTCCACCAAGTGAAAAGTTTTCCCTGCACTTCTCCCCTCACCTCCCCCATCGCCTTGAACCTGTGTCCTCTTCTAGTTGACCTTTCAAGACCACCAGCATTTTCCTCCAGGTCATTTTAAAAAAAAAAGACAAGCAACAAAGGCCCCAGCACTGATCCCTGTGGAACACCGCTAGTTACTGATCTCCATTCTGAAATGCACCTTTCCACCGCTACTTTATCGTCTTTGATGAAGTTAATTTTATACCCATCTAGCCAGCTCACCCCGCATCCCATGAGACTCTACCTTGTGTACTAGCCTGCCATGAGGTACTTTATTAAATGCCTTATGGATAGGGTGAATCATTAAGGTCTTTTCCCCAGGATAGGGGAGTCCAAAACTAGAGGGCCTAGGTTTAAGGTGAGAGGCGAAATATATAAAAGGGACCTAAGGAGCAACTTTTTCATGTAGAAGGTGGTGTGTATATGGAATGAACTGCCAGAGGAAGTGGTGGAGGCTGATACAATGACAACATTTCAAAGGCATCTGGATGGGTACATGAATAGGAAGGGTTTAGAGGGATATGGGCCAAATGCTGGCAAATAGGACTAGATTGACTTAGGATATCTGGTCGGCATGGACGAGTTGGAGTGAAGAGTCCTGTTTCCATGCTGTATATCTGTGACTCTATGTGGACAACATCCACTGCCCTTCATTCATCAATCGTTTTTGTCACCTCTTCAAAAAAGTTGATGAGCCATGACTTCTGCTCTCAAACCCATGCTGCCTATCACTAAAAATCCATTTGCTTCCAAATGTGAATACGTCCTGTTTCTCAGTATCTTCTCTAACAGCTTCCTCACCGCTAGTATGTGGGCTGTAATTACCTGGTTTATCTGTTTTCCTCCTTAAAGGAACAACATTAGTATTCTCCAGTCCTCTGGAACCTTGCCTAAGGCCAAAGAGGATGCACAGACATCTGTTAAGGCCCCATCTATTCCCTACCTTGCCTCCCACAGTATCCTGGGATTAATCCCATCTGACCCTGGTGACTTGTCTATAGTAATGTACTTTGAGACATGTACCACTTTTGTCCTTTGTGTTGACCTGCCTGAGATTACTCGCACCTTTTCCCTAACCTCAGCGTCCCTCACATCCTGCTCTTGGAAGATATCAATGTAAAGTACTCATTAAGGATCTCACCCATTTCCCCTGGGTCTACACACAACCTCCCTCCTTTACCCTTGAGTGGGCCTAACTCTTTTTCTCCATGCAACCTCTTGCTCCTAATACATGTATAAAATGCCTTGGGATTCTACTTATCCTTGCTGGCCGAAGACATACCATAGCCCCTTTTAGCCCTCCTAACTCACCGTTTGAGCTCCTTCCTAATTTCTCTGTTTGAAATATCAATGTCACTGTCTAAATGAACATTATGATTTCGTGCCATTCCCTTTCCTTTACCCCATAACTTGCACGTGAAGTAATCTGCCAATAGTATCTCCAGGTGAGTCTTCAAGGGTCATCAAACAAGCTACAATATAGGGTCTTTGGCATTTGCATATTATAAAGTTGGAATCTTCAGAAGGAATTTAGTGCAGACGGATGTGATTCGGAGAGGATGTAGTACGAAGTGATCTCCATTAATGGCCAACATGCATGCTGTGTAACCAAACTTTGATTTAACATTAGTGGAATATACTGTGCAGCTTACTTCTATATTACTGTATGTAACATTTCATATCTCTCTTAGCCTTACAAAGGATGAGTCCAAAAGGCCAAAGTATAAAGAGCTTCTGGTGAGTTTAAATTATTTTATATAGCAATTTTTGCTCCAGTCCTAAATTTCCATTCTGTTTATTGTTGGAGCCAACGGGTTATAGCAAATCAGCATTGCTATCTTTTAGTTTTTAATACCAATCATATGACACTCAAAATAGTGAGTGATCAGCCATAATGGTGATGTGTGTAGCTCAGTTAGCGTTTGTATGAAATATCTTCTGTTGACAGACCACCCACTTTGTCAAATTGCAGTTTCAGTGGCACAGAATTTTTTTTGCCTTATGATCTTGCAGTTTTAAGGCTGCTGAAAAAGTTACCATCCACATTGGCTACTAAATTTAGTTCTGTTCTCAATTTCACGTGACGAGAAAGTCAATATTCATAAGTCCCCTATGAAAGCTTGCAACGCTATAATGTAAATTGGGTGGTATACCACAAAAGTAAGAATGATTTTTCTGAAGATTTTTCACATCAAAAACCATCTGTATGACTTTCATACTCTCTTGCTCACTCCTAAAATGAAGCACATACCATGCTGTTCGACCATATTAACCAAAGGCGATGATAATGAAAACTCTCCTGAAGTTACTAACAATGTGTTTGACTCTCGACATAATTTGAACTTGCATACCACCTGTCATGTTATAAAACCTCCCAAAGTGCTTCACAAGTGTGTGATGAAATAATGTTTTACACTGAGACTCATGAAAATAATAAGGCCAGGTGATCAACAGATTTGTTGAAGAGGTAGAGGAATGTTAGGAATCCAGGATCTCTTAACATAGTTGACAAAAGCTCCTAAATACCTCCCCAGAATAATTAAAGCAACAAACTTACAACAAAGGGTAATCCCATACTTATACATTTGTTCAAGCACTTTGGTAGACAGGAAATCTTCTAGAAATCACTTTTTGTAGTAGCTGGATGATCAGAATATGAATTACCTTTTACCACTGAGGTAAATCTTGTTCTTGATATCTTAACCACAATAGCAAAGCATATATCTGACATGGGACTGAAAGCTTGCAGATGAACCAGTCAAGTAGTGACATCACAGCAAAGCCAGCTACCTCCTGAAAGTCTAACGTCATCTCCAAACGACTTTGGGCATTCTTCTCTGCTATCCTGGTTCTAAAGTAAAATCTCTCTCCCAGTTACCCAATCAGTTGTAAATGCAGGGAAGATCCTCTGTGCTATGCCTATATGCCGACAGATTTGTTCAATCTTTGTTTGTTTGCTTATATGATAAAGCCTTGATTCTGTAACCACAACTGCCCCCTCATTGCAGTATATAGTGCCGTAAAAAAAAGTGCCGTATTTTCAAACATTGAATTCTTTAAGTAGAAAGCAAAAGTCTCAATGTTGAAAATATGACACAAATAAAGTAGCAATATTGTGATCTATTGACATTTTGTAGAGTGATCAGATTGTTTGTTCTGGGTATGCACACCAAATGGAGCTGCTGATTGAGCTGAAAGTTTACAGCTTTCTCTGTTCTTGCCTTGTTGAATAGTTGTCATTTCTAACGTTGAGAACATCCTAAATTTGAGGTGTCTTGAAAAAACCTGGTTGTGGTTGAATTTGTCACTATTCAGTGAATTAAGGAAGTTGGAGGTAGTACAGTGAACATTGTGCACGTGGACTTTCACAAGATTTTCAAAGGCATTCCATATACTAGACTGGCTAGCAAGATTAAACTTGAAGCTGGGTAATAGTAAATGTCTTTTGGTGTGAAGGATGTATAGTGGTGTCACCACAATTGGTCTCAAGACCACTGCTCTTTTTAATCTGTATTTTTGAATTAGGCCTGGATTTACAGGCAGTAAATGCAAAGCTTGTACTGGGTCAAAAATCAAATGTAAAGAGTAAAGAAGGTAATGTAGAGAGACTTTTGAAAGGGGCAGGCATATAGCACATTACCTTTCATGTAGAAAAGTGTTAAATGATGAATTTTGGATGGAAACGATGTCACGTACCAAATAGTGAATCTTTAGGGGAGATGAAACAACTGAGGAGTATTTGTACACATTTGGCAGAAGGAATTAAGGTTGCAATTTTTTTGAAAATTACATGTAGAATCCTTGCTTTGACATTTAGTACAAAAATTAAGCTGTAAATCATTGTTGTGCCTCACCTGGAATATTGAGTCCAATTCTAGGCAAATTTAGGAATATTATCAAGGCCATTGAAGAAGTGCAGAGAATGTTTCCTGGAATGGTACCAGGGATGAGGAACTTGACTTGGAGACTCTAGCAAAGGAGTTGTTCTCCAAATGAAGGTTAAGAGAAGAGTTGATGAGAGCGTTCAAACTGTGAATGGTTTTGATCGAGTAATTAAGGAAAGACTGTTTCCAGTATCGGGAGCTAACCAGAGGAGACAGTTTAAGGGACTGGCAAAAATGCAAATATTTTTGAAATGGAATGCGCTGCTTATTATGGTGGAATTAGATTCTGTAATTTTCACAAGGCCACTGAATAAATATTTGATAGGAAGGAATGGGGCATAGAAATGGTAGATATATATTTTGTAGAAATGAATGGGCTAATGGTATTATGACTAGACCATTAATCCAGCGACCCAAGTAATGTACTGGGGGCCCAGGTTAGAGTCCCACCAGGGTGGATGGTAGAATTTGAAATCGATAAAAATCTGGAAATTAAGAGTCTAATGATGACCATGAAACCCATTTTAGTTCACTAATGTCCTTATGGGGAATGAAACTACCATTCTTATTTAGTCTGACCTACATGTGACTCCAGACCCACCATGATGTGGTTGACTCTTTACTGCCCACTGGGCAGCTAGAGATGGGCAACAGATGCTGACCTGGCCAGTGAAACTCCTATCTCATGGATGAATTTTAAAAAAAGAAACTTTTCCCACTTGTAGAGGGTCAGTAACCAGAGAGCAGGTGGTTTAGAGGGAATTTGAAGTTTATCACCCTGAGGGTGGTGAATATCAGGAACTCACTGCCTAAAAGGATGGTAGAGGTGACAACATCAGACATTTAAGTAGTATTTAAGTGAGCACTTGAATTACCATAGCTTACAAGTCTATGACTGGAAAATGGGATTAGAATCATTGGATGCTTGATGACCATGGACATGCTTAGCTGAGGAGATTTGTTCAGTGCTGTAAAAATTCTGTGACTCTAATTTGTAGGGCTGTTGAGACAAGGCATGACAATGGGACTAAATTGTCAGCGTTCAAAGAACTGACATGGAACCAAATGGTCATCTGTGCTCTCTTGTTCTATGATTTCTATAATTGCTAGAATGTTCTCAGGTTAAATTCTTCTGTTCCTTCTTTAAAGTTATACTTTTGCCAACCTCCTCATCTGAATGACCATAACCAGGAAAAGCTCACGGCCAATGCTGCTGAAATCCCAAGCTCACTATCAGCATTGTCAATGCATGAATTTTTTTTGTTAAATGATGAATCTATCAATCTTTCTAAAATGCAGTAGATTTGCAGTTACCAGTAGAAATGTTTGCATTATCTAACACTAATCCAATGCTAATAATTGACTTTTGCTAAAAGATTGAATCATGTATGTGATGGATGTTTTTAAGAAGAGTTATGATGTACCCAAGTGAAAAATGCAATTGTTTTCATTTATTCAGAAACATCCTTTCATCTTGATGTATGAAGAGCGCAGGGTGGACGTTGCAAGTTATGTTTGCAGAATCTTGGATCAAATGCCCCCAACCCCTGTTTCCCCAATGTACGTCGATTGATTCTGCTGCTGAAAAGACAGCCTTAAACTGGCTGAAAGATATCAAGGTGTAAAGATTTGTTTTATGACACATTGCAGTGTTTCTATTTTTAACTTGCTCAAACAGACTGTGCAATAAAAATTGGTGTTCCATTTTATCCATGTCTGCCCACGATTGTCCATTCGAAAAGCATCCTTCTCATAGTACCCAAGTCGTCAAGAGAGTTTGTGGATGTTATTGCCTTTTCGGGCTAGATGTATGGAGGCTGCCAGTGTGTTCATTTCAGTCTGGATCTTGGTGGGATATTATGCAGCTGCTGGTGGGAAGAGTTTGAAGCTGGAGACATTTCGATACCGTACTGGAAAGACCAAGTCTTGGACTAGCTGTTCCCGCCATTGCATAGAATATTTTTAGTAGCACCCTCAAGACTCCTAAGTATCTGCGTTGTCTTCAACAAAAGGGAATTTGTACACGAACAGGAAACGTTACTCCAGTGCAGTCGCAAACACCTTGAGGAATTTTGCTTCACAAAGTGCAATAGATTTGCTGATTTTAATTCTGTTGCTTTATAGTTAGTGTCTATCATGGAGGAAAAGAAAATCTGTATTTTACTGTTAATAATGTTGAAGAGATTTTTAAATAAAGACATAACTGAACACTATGTCTTTCACCAAAAAAGTGTGTGGACTGAGAATTGCAAAGAAAGCAAAATTGATACACGAAAGATTTGCTGCAAAAAGGTATTTCCCCTGAAACAGAACTTTTATATGACTTAAATGTCATTCACTGTACAATATATTTGTAACTATTGGGAAAATTAGCCTAGGCACCTGAAGAAAGTGTTTTAATATTGTCTATTGAAATATACAGAAAAGAATAGTGAACTATGGTGTAACTTTGGGCAGAATGCTCGAAGAGTAAAGCATGCTGGAAAAAATAAGCTTGTGTTGAAGCAACGAATGTTTTCCTGTTTGTTAATCAGTCTGTAAATGTGCACATTGATGTCTTAGGATCTTAGACAAAAGCAGGCTATATATGGATTATGCAGTAAGCACCTGGCAGTGATGATCTTAAATGTTTCCCACCGACAGCTCATATTGTGGTTCAATGTGCTATTTTTTACCAGAAATTATTTATGCAAAAATTAATGTATACCTGTGACTGCTGTAAACCTTGAAGTCCTCCAGGTTTACCAGTGGTGTGATAACACCAATTGCCTACTAGTTTGGTTTAGTTATTGGTTGTACTTGTCTACTGAGGAAAATTGTTTAACGGTAAGAGGAGCAAATCACCAAGTCAAGATGTTAGGTGCAGTGTCTTCTGATTTAATGCAACGCCGCTGTGACTACCCAGCTCCAGAGGTGCTAAATGTCTGGAAGAATTCTGTTGCTTGAGATAGCTACAGGATGGTTTTAATTTTACCTACATGTGATCCAGGACTTGTGCTACACAGAGAGAATTCTTTGTGAGATTCTATTTTTCATACAGTGTCTGTTGAGAGTATGCTGGTTTTTCGGGGTGCGGGGAGGTGTGATTGTTTCTTGCAAGTTTTTGTAACAGACAAGTATATCCAGTAAGTATGTCCATTGTAGACCCAGTAAGTCACTAAAGTTATAAAATTATGCAGAATTTTTGTTCCTCTTGTCTGCTTTCATGACTGAACACACAAGCCCATCTGCCCACCCCACCAAAAATCCCTTATGACCCACCACCAGCCTTGCTTGGCAATTCATTAATGTGTTCAATTCTACTGGTGAAGAAGTGAACTTGATGTGAATGTCAAGGGACTTCGAACTTTTTGAGTGGAATGCCTGTAAAAATTGGCAGTTTATTCCTATATTAATCTTAGATTATAATCTATTAAGGGTGAGGAATATATTACAGTGTATCTTTAAAAAAAGGTGTATAATGGTCACAAACTGTGAAAATAGAATAAGAACTGTACATTGTGAACTTTGGTTAATTTTTCTTTCCTGTACCATAGAAAATGTATAAAAAATATCAAAGCTGATGTGCAGGGATAATGCCTTACTTGTCTGTGAAAATGGAGCTCGCTGAGTATCATCACCATTGCATTATTTTACAGAGCTCATGGATATTTCTTATCCTGTATACTGGTTTGACTTCTTCCTATATTTAAAACATTATAAATGGAATCTTAAGTGTTCATGTAATAGTTCTATACTCTTGCCTGCAGGTCAGTTGTAATAAAACTAGAACGTGACTGTGACCTTGTTCTTGTTTTGTAAGATCTGAAACACACAATTGCAAAAATAAACTCAATTGAAATACTGGAAAAATGCATAACTTGATATGTTCCTTTTAAAGGGCCAGATCGATGTGTTTTGTCTTTAGTCAGTCAGTCAATCATCAGTAGTTGTGGCTCATGCATCTGCAGTGAAGCATTTGCAAAAAGCTTTAATTGTAAATTTTAGTGTCAATAATAATATAGTTCACAATTGGATTAAGTACTTCTCTGCCAGTGCATGTCATGATGGTTGCCTCTTCACACGACAGCTATTCAGCTCTTTGTATACCCTGATTCTTTTGAACAAAGAACTGCAAACTGCCATTGTGGTAAGGAAATTTCCTGTATTCCCAGCTGCCGTGACCCAAACACCACTACCAGGTGAAGCACTGAAATACTTTGCCGCTTAAGTTGCAATCTCCTGTATGTTAGGGAGAACCAAATGCAGATTGTGAGACAGTTTTAGTAGCTTCTTTCAGGCCACAAATGAGTGCAGGAGGTCAATAATAGGTTAAGTAATAGCCACCTCATATTTTGATTAGGCACTTCCAGCCTAATTTTGGAGGTTCCACACTTGACATTAAGTTCAAAACTTTCAGAACCTAACCAGTAATTTGTCTTTGTTAATTGTTCCTGTCCTCCATTTTACCAAACACTTTTTTTTTGTGTACTTGCCTAAAGCCTGTTATTCTTGAAGCATTTTCCACTTCTGATGTTTCGGTCTTCACGGATGTTAGCTAGCCTTTTGAGTACTTCTAGCATTTTCTTTGTCGTATTTAATATCCAGGTCAGAAGTCACACGACACCATGTTATTGTTCAACAGGCTTATTTGAAATCACAAGCCTTCGTCAGGTGAAATGGAGGGAAGTGCACAAGCACAGAATTAAAAGGTGGAGAGATCATTGCAAGATAATTCCAAGTAATTAAGAGTGTCAGAAGATAGTACGGATGGTGTGAGTGGAGTGTTGATAGGCTGAATAGCAAATCTTTGCAGGTGATCAAACGTGTCAACAACTGAATAGCAAGAGAAGGGATGACCTATGATCTGATTAATTTAGGCAGAGAGATAATTACAAGAAGTCAAAAATAAGATGGTGCTAGAGACATGCAAATGCATGGTAGTTCCTTGATGTCAAGACAAAGACCTTCTGGCAAAGCTGGTAGTCCCACTCCAAGATTTGTTGACTACAGATGGCCTGTTCATGCTGAAGTTTAAACAGGCTGCAAATGAGTCTGCTTTTCCTTCCAGCGACTCCCCACTATTGCCCAAAGGGGGCAAAAAGAAGATTTGTTTTTAAAAACGCAAAAAAATTTTTACGAATGATATGAACAGACAGCTGCCAGACTGATGGATCTAATGAATTTCACAAGCTGAAACATTAACTGTTTCTGAACCTGCAGATGCTGCTAGATCTGTTGGATATTTCCAGCATTTTCTGCTTATATTTACTGCTGCACTCACTAAACACTATCGCTTAAAATTCTGTAAGCTCAACAAAATCCACTTTAGGACAACGTGAATGTCTGTTGTCTCTTAACTCCTTAAACAACCATCCTTTCTACATAACTTAGGTCTAATTTGGCTAGTATAGGATTTTTTAAAAAAGGAAATTAGCATGTAGTCTCTGCGGATCAATTCAAATTTGCTTATTTGCTGAATTGTTCTTTGACTTATTTCCAAGATTGAATCCTATGGTATGGTAATTACTTTTGAGACATTTATTCCTCTGTGCATATTTCTATCATTGGCATGGTTTCTAAATCTTTTTCTAAAAAAAAAAGGAATTTAATGGGTAAAGTCACAGCAAGATGAGCTATATTGTGAATAAATATACACACAGCACTAGGCAAATATACTCTCTAAAGCAAAATATTTAAACAGGAAAAGGAACACATGGCCTTTCAAGCATTGCTGCTTCATTCAGTAAGATTGTAGCTAAACTTTACTATCATCTTCACTTTCCCATTACCTTAATGTTTCTCAACCACCTGAGTGCAATAGATCTATCATTGAGTCTTGAGTACACTCATCAACAGCTCTCTAGATGTGAGCATTGCAAAAATTCACAACATTCCCGAGAAAATTTCTAATTCTCGGTTTTTAAATGACCCCTTAGCCCGAGACTATGATTCTTATTTCCAGACTGTCCAGCTGGGGTGAGCAGCTTCTCAGCATCAACTATTCCAACTGCTTCTGTGATATTGCCTTTCGTTCTCTGAAACTCCAGTACCTACTGCTAACTGCAAATTCTAGCCCAATATTTAAGTGGTTCAGAATAATAATGGTATAACTGTGTTGAGCTGATGGAACATATCCATGAAATTAGAGACTATCACCGTTCTCAATTTTGGATATAACGATTGTCTTGTGCTCTGGTACTGCATCTTGGTAAAGTATTAAATTTTTGTAATAGTTTTGCTGTTACCCCTGAATTCTTTTTCAAAACGTATGGTTACAGTCCATCTGGGGTAGGATTTTATCCTCTGTTTGATTAATTTGTTCAATATTACTGAACAGTAATTAGATCATTTCTAATCTTATTATACAATATCATCACTTGATATCTTCCATATAAATACCGAAGCGAAGCAAAGCAATTTATTCATATTACTGGCATTTTGCTATCAACACAGATTTGTTGTCCTGCCCTGTTAGCACTAATGTAGAGATGACAGTTGGATCCCTTCCCTCCTGCTCACAAGTTTGATGCCCTTAATCCTGGCACCAGGCAAGCATCATAGCCTTTGGGTGAGGCACTTGCACTCACCTGCAGTTATACCCTCCTGTCCGTGATCTCGGACTAAATCTGAACTATTTAATTGGTGAGTGATGTGACCTCCAGCTGGAGTAAAGTGTTCCGGTTACTTGCCAGCTTCCTAATGTGGCACAATGTCTGCAGTTTGGATTCCAGCTCCTCAACTCTGATCCAAAGTTCCTTGAGTTACGACCGTGGCAGATGTGCTCACCCTGCATCACCTTGGCTCCCAGCAGCTTTCATATGCTATAGTAGCAACACTCCACTTGGCCTGTCATCATTATTATATGTAATTTAGTGAATTACTGTAATATTTGTGCTTTACTTTTTTAAAAAAAAAAATCAGTATAAATCTTAAGCTGTTTTGAAGAAAAAAAAGTCTAGGATCTTAACACACGCTAAAGACTGTAACAACTGGAAATCTTACAAATCGGCTGCCTTCCCTGTACTCCCTTCATATTGTGGTTTGTGACTTCACTCAAAATTACTGGTTTCACTGCAGGTCGACCTCTTGATATGTGCCTTTTTGTCATCCTACTCCTCTTTCACTTTGGAAACCTTAAGGTTTACTGCAAAAAGTAAAACAGCTTTTATTCCCTTTACACCAAATTTCCACTTGAAATCAAATTCCCAGATATGTTCCTTGAGCCACTGTCTCACTTGGGTGAAGGCTCCTTCAGATTAACCATGCTTCTTCCTGAACAAAAGTGAAAACGTTTTAAGGTGAAAGGCTTTTACTCTAAATATAGTCAGGTGATTTAAATAGGTTTAGCTTTGTAACTTGTATGTAATAGACCTATTGGTGAGTGGAATTTTAATTAAGTGTTTTTCATCTTGCTGTTTTCCAGTTGGGACATAGGGATGATATTAAATTATTGGGAGGTGACTCTACATATTCTCAGTAAACACATAAATCACGTTATTCATGCTATCTGCTCTTGGTAAAGATCTATGGACTTGGTAAGCCAAGAGGGGAAAGCTATCATAAAAGGGATGATTTACCAAGTAATTTTGACATGATAATGAGGAGGTGATAGGAAGTGATATCAGTAAGATGACTATTAGTATTGAACAAGCCAAGCCAAAAGTGAGAAGACACTGTCTAGCCAATCTAAGACTGACCATGAACTGTTTGTGTATTAGTAAGCCAATCAGAGTTTGAGAGACCTTGAGTCTTGCAAAGGGGGTTAGAGTTTGGGAGGCCTCAGATCTGCACACAGGGTAACAGCTAATATGACTAAGCTCTTTGTGATTCAATGCACAACGAAGACAGAATACAGAAGGATAAAGAACGGAGCAAAAGACCTGTGCCCAGTCAGTGAGCGTCAGAAATTAGCATCCTAAAGTGCATCACCTGAAAAACCGCAGCTTCTATTAAGTAATATTTCTTGTTATGATAAGCTTAATAAATTCTATAAAACTTGTAAAAACACAATCGGGAGTAGTTTGGACTGGTTCTTGCAAACACTGTCTATAATTGTAATTGAGTTGTAGTGCAGTGGTAGTATCCCTGCTTCTGATCCAGAACACCCAGGTTCTACGTGTATGCCGTAACAGCTCTGAACAAGTTGATTAAAAATGTCTGCAATTGTAATTGTTCTTAGATTTTACAATTAAACTTCCCCCTCCCAAAATCTTCCACATGACCAAAGCATTCCAGATTCTAACAATTTTCTGCATTTTTAAAAAAAAACACTTCACTGCCATCGCTTCTTTTCTCAATGCCAATAAATCGTGCTGTCTGGTTCTCAACATTCCTACAAAGGGGACCTATCTCTCTATATGTATGCTGTACATATCCCTAATTATTTTGAATCCCTCCATGAAATCTCTCAGCCTTCCTTCGATTGAACTGCCCAGCTTCACTAACGTATCCTTATAGCTGAAGTTTGTCATCTAGAATCATACTTCCAAATTTTTCCCACACCTTAACAGTCTTTCTAAAATGCAGTGCCCAACACTATTAGATGCAGTGCTTCAGTTGCTGCTGAAGCAGTGTTTTATAAAGGTGTTGATGCTCAGGATCCTATCTGCTCAATAGGTTCTGCCATGTTCAGCAATAGGTGCATACGGAGACCCCAAGTCCTTCCGCTCTTACAATTCTAAAGGGAGTGCATCTTTTAAATGATATAGCCTTTCATTATTCAAATTGAAACCTGTCACTTCATACTTCTCTACATTAAAGTTCATCTGCTTCTTGTCCATCTATTGCATCAGCCTATGTCCCTTGTAGTCTATCTAATGATAGACTACAAGATGTTTTGTGTCATATGCACATATGATTACCAGGGGAAT